ATATATTTTTTTTTTCTTCCTTATATACGATTAACGTTAAAAACATTCGAAACCAGCAAAAATATAGACGTCGTCGCGTTGATTGAATTATATTTCATATTTTCAAGGGAATTTTTATTAGCGGATTGTACACTGCAACCCCTATAAATGATACGTACGAAGATTTCGTACGTGTGTGTATTATTCAATTACATGCGTGACACATGTAATAAGATAATGATTGAATATTAATGAAATCACCGTTTCAACGTAACGCTAAGAATCAATTGACGCAAGCTATAATTCGATGGTTCCCTTAAGCATTAATGTATCTACACGCGTAATATCATTCTTCTGTTTCCGTAAAAGAGGCGAGTGAAGATGGAATAATGATGAATAACGTTCACGAGCGCTCGTTCAAAACGGTAAACCTATTTCAAAGGCATTGATCAAGGCGGAGCCTGAATCGTATACACCGATCACGCCGAAAAGAACTCCGAGAAAAATCACGAAGCAATCATAGGCGACCGCGCTCCATTCCATGGAATTTCTCTTCAGTTTCAAATGAAAGTAACAGGGCCATATAAACGACAACATGGTACCGGTGAAAGAGCCTATGAAACCCATAAGGATACTGAAATGCGGTATAAATATTGCCATAAGAATGGTGAAAACGATCACGCCAATTCTCCACGCCAGACCCCAAACTTTCAATTCACGGTCCACGGTCCATATCGTTGGAAAATAGGTTTTCGGTTTACCTCTGAAGAATGCCCGCTCGAGGAGCTCGCAGGCCGCGTAATAAGGTAATGGATACGATAGCATGGCCTTGACGACCAAGCAGAAATTCACCAGACCTTTGAAACCGGCCGAGTGTAAATTATTCGTGATCACTTGCTGCGTATCGTTTTGGAAAGTTAGAAAACAGATCCAACCGAAGAGCGATTTAAACGCGGCGGCCGCGATGTGACTCCAATTCAACATCCAATCGAACTTCGAACGATCGATCAGATTGCCCTCCAGCGTGGGTAGAAATATTTGCGAAGTATAACTGAACACGATCACGCCAAGAGAGATCGGGAAATTCTCCAGATCGATCGTCCATTTCACTTTGGACCAACCCCAATCACCGATCTCTAAGAGGCAATAACCGACGATGATGGCGTTTATGAACAAATGAGACATCGTGCACCAAAAGCTGAGCACCGAGACGTGTTGCAGAGACTTGAGGAAACCGAGGGGCAGTAAAAATATTCCAGTTAGCATCATCCAACTTCTAGTATCGATTGCGCCTTCCGGGAAAGTTCCTATCATGAGATCACCGCAGACGACCACGTATAGGATGCAAGTCATTAGCAGTTCGATGATCTGCGCGATATTCACCGCTCTGGCACCCCAAGTAGGTCCGAAACATTCTTTGGCGATTGCCACATACGAGTCTCGTACGCGTACGCGTTGTCCAGTTGTCGTGTCAAGTTCGTACAAACATTCGACGAGTATTTTGCCAGTGTAACAACAGATATGCGCAATACCGATCATTGCGGCGATAGCCCAATAACCGCCTCGTAATACAGCGAATGGCAATGACACGATAAACATACCCTGAAAGAAGAATAGATGAAGATTTCTTTTCGATTTCCCTCTGTCCTGTATGACTTAAAGAATTGAATGAATCGCGAAATAAAAAATACCTGTATAGCATTTGTAACATTCCACGCAGCCTGCCATTCATTGATTTTTACTCCTGAACCAAATTCGCCGCCACCTTCGTCATATTCGCTAAATTCACCGCTACTTACACTTCCTGTTCTAACTTTGTCCCTGTAATATCAAATTGCATATCTCGAAATAAAATGTAATATTTATAATATTGTTGCTTAATTAAAAAAATTGATGATGTTCAATATATATTTCTTTTGAAGAAAGAAAATTTTAGAAAAAAAAGAATAGAGTTAAAAGATTTCTTTTTATCTATTGTAATATTATCATTTTATTTTACACACTCGTTTATTTACCCGTTTCTTTGATAGCTGAAGGAATCCTCAGCGATGGCTACGTTATTCTGGTCCCGATACGCTTGATCTCCATTCATAGTCATCATTTCCGTATTATCATGGCCTTCGTCGAACGATTTGAATTGTGCATGTCCACTTTGTCCCGGTGCTTGTTTTTGATCTGGACCACTGCCACGGATAAGCTCCATACAGGGGCTATTTTCTGGCCATTTAGCTTTCAATGTTTCCCAGGCAACGTTAAATGTTGCTCCCAAAGTTGGTATGTAGAATCCACGAAAATGAGCCATTGTTTAACTCGTTACTTCTGAAAGAAAATTAATTTTACAATCTTCGTTAAAATATGCATATGGAATCTAATATAATTACAAGTTAGCATTTAAATTCAGCCAATTATTCAATATTGGTTACAGAATAATTCACATTTCTCTGGCATACACAAAATGATGAAATGCCAATATATAAATGTAATTTAAGAGGAACATATTCGATTAACTTTTAAATTGAAAAGTTTATAATAAGATACTTTTATAACAAAACTTTTCACACTTTATTTTAAACATTTTGACTTCGAAACTTTTCAATTAATTCTTTCGTTTTAGAAAAATATTATTAAAAAAATATTAGATGTATTAAATTATATACAAGTAATTTTGATTGAATAATGTACTATTTAATGTAATATTTTAATAATTAATTTAATCGTTCTCCATGCATTTCCAAACTTTTCAATACTAATATAACTCTGATATGTTCCTCTGTTTTTCCCATGCTATTGAAATATCGGTCAGTCTCGATTTCTTGCTTTCACTTACCGTAACGAAATCTTAGGCAGATGTAATTTCCTTCACCTCGAGTTTCCTTTAATTTTTATCTCCCCGATTTTTTTGCCAGGTGGAGCGAAAGGCTTAAACTAAAAGAAAGGATTCAGCAGCGGTGGCGATCCGAAGAACGGAAATAGTTGAAAAATAAAGGGTACGAAACCGTCTAACTACGTGGGCTACGACACCGCATGGTCGTCTACGGTCTACCGCGATCCTCGAGTCCCTAATCGCGAGCCCTTAATCGCGACATAGACTACGGGATTGGCGTGTCAGGGGTTGGAACATCAGAAGAATATGGCCAGCATCCCTCGAACGCGCAAGTCTCGATCGATGTGGTCCATGAGGCATCTCTCGACATATCAGTACTGTAGTTTAAAGTTAGATCTCCCCACGTGAAATGAAAAGAAAAACCGAAATTCCAGAAAGCGGTAATTGTCAGTGGTCCATTAATTGGAGATTTCCGATAGGGAATTTGTCATATGTATTATATCTATAAGTTTGAGTCAATTGTATATTTCTTAAGACATCTAAGAGATTTCTTGTTGATATTAAAAAAAATATCGAAATTTGAAAAAAAGAATTCATTGTTGGTATCATGGAAGTACATTTGATAAGACGAGACTGATATCAAAACTTGTTTTGAAATTGCAATTCGGGCGAGCGTTTTTTAAATAGCAAATCTTCACTTATAGAAATTGATAATACATATATTTTAGAATTTGATGGGAGATAATTTTGAAAATAAATTAATAAAATTAATAAATATTATTAATAAATATAAATTAAATTAATTTTTTGTTTTTAAATATTTGAATTTGAAAATATATTTTTTATATTAATTAGTCGTAAAATATAAAAAATATAAATATAGAATAGAATAAATAATGATTTTTCAAATAATACGAGATAGAAGAATTATTAATCTTTATTCTATGATAAAAATAAATGATCGTATAAGTGAATATAAAATACGTGTACTTCTTCATTTCTTTTTAAAATATATAAATAATTAATATTTGATATTTATTGTTTAAAATTCAGATAAGAATATTTTAAAAAATAAATAAAGTATATTATTTAATATCGATGAACAGGAAATAAAGTATTCAATAAAGATTGTATAATCATAATAGATTTAATTCATAATTCTAAAATAATAGGTAATGAAATTATATAAAATATTTGCATTTATAAATGAGAAAAGTTACTCAATAAAATTGATTATATACAATGATCTATATTTTTAAAGGAATACTTGTTCATAGTTTTGAAAAATAATATTATCTATTAAGATATAATATTAAAGGTATTAATAAAAACCATAAGCAATAGTTTTTAATAAATAAAGAAATCAACTTGTTTATTATTTTATCTTAGGTATGTTACTTTTCACAGTGATAATTAATAATTCATATTAACTTTACAATCATTTGTGTCCCTGCGTTTTGTAATTCAAATTATAATAACATTCAAACAAGCGTTTCACGCATACAATATGAATACTTCATTATAATATATTGTATACAAATTAAACGCTAATTATTGGATTTAATAATTCTGATAACAATATAAGGCCGTGAGATCACAACAAAAAATGCTTTTGACTTCTACTTAGATGTATATATCAATAAATTTAACTTAATTGTTATAGAAGTCTTACTAATTTCCTATAATAAGAAGCTTGATTGTATTATTATCTGTAAAATTGTGTTGCAATTCAGATGCACTTGACATATTTTATTCTCATTAACTAAAAATTTCTGCTAAATTAAGTCTGTGATTTATTTTTCAGTCTTCCACTTATATTTATATAATGTATGCATTTTTTTTTTTTTAATGAATACATATAAATCAGAAAATATGTAAATTTGGACATTTCATATGCAGGAATGACACATAGATATTATAGTAAATATACAAAGAGGAAAAGTGTTAAATTTAACACCAAAGTCGGAGGACTAATAATGTCATCAGCTTAGGCTAAGAATACAGCTAAATATTTGTCTTTAAATAATACAGTCGTAGATACCAAATTTTGTACTAACTAATTGCCCACCAAATACACTTAACACCCATAAATTTACATTAAATTGCACATAGTGATAAACAAAAAACACACAAGCAAATGCCATGAGATATATAGACATTTCTTAAAATTTTTATATAATGTTCCACAATTTTCAAATATTGTACAAATAGTACTGTGCAAATAGTTTTATCAAAGAAGTTACTTTTGTTTTATAAATCTAACTATAATCTGTAACATAACTAGGATATGACAATTAAAAATTAATTCTTTATAAGGATATCAATTATAACTTTAGGGTCCATGTGGAAGCTTTCATTTGTATATATAATAATAGAATATTGAATTTACTCACTGACATCTCTCTGTGTTTGATGTGAATCACTATCTGAAGTTAAACTTTCAATAGCACTATCTGGTTGTGAAATTGTTTCAGAACTCCTAGTCATACAGAGTTTATTGGATTTAGCTTCTATACGATTAGATTTAAAATTCTGATCTAAATTTGAATTTGAAGTGGAATGTAATGATACATTAGACTGAGCAGAGACAGGTCTTTGACATGAATGCAACATTAATTCTGGTCCTCCACCATATGTAGTTAAAAAAAATTGCCAGAGTTCTTCTGGTATTTGTCCATAATCTGACCCTATATATAATTATTATGTTAATATATTTATTATAAATATGTTATATATAAATTTATTGCAAATTTGAATATATTTTAATTTAAAACTTACCAACTTTAAGGATATTTTGACCATTTTTATTTATTATAATAGAATTGTTGTCAATTGGTCCAGGTGGCTGAGTCTCTTTACCACGAACGAAACTTTGCCATTGACGTAACCAAGCCATAGCCAATCCATATATAGCAGTAGGATTATCAGTATTATGATTTAATTGTTGAAATATTTCCATTTCATATTGTCTCCTTTTCTGTAATGATTCATATTTCTCTTCACAAACTGGACATTCATATAAATGTGTACATGCAGGACCTCCTCCAAATCTGAAATAATATTTTAATTTTAATAATAAATAATGAACTTAAATTCCGATTAAGAAAATAATTTTTAAAAATTTAAAAAAATGTATAAAATATATAATTTATGTAGCACTTACGTATTATATAAATATTCCCAAACTGCTTGTGGAATAGGCATACTAAGTTTATCTACAAATTGTGCTCTAACAGGATTAACACCACCATGTGGACAAAGAAAATCAGAATTATCTATAGGTCCTGGTTCTGAAAATGTGTTAAAACGATTTATCCATTGTCGTGATACAAAAAAATTCAAATCAGATAATTCTCTAGATGAAATTTCCATCAATTCCATAGTTTTATCACGCAGCTGCAACATTTCTGGTGACCACTTTTTATAAAATAACACATAAGCCTCACAATGTTTTACAGTTTCTGATGAGACTTCTGTGACACATTGATCATCAAATTCAAACCATTTATTAACAATAGGATTTAATGCATAACAAGTATAATGACCACCACCAGCTGTTCCATGATGACAAATGACTGATATTAAATCATACATTGTTACTTTGGATACACATTCCTTATGTAAATATGGTCGCATATCTAAGCCTTCTAATGGAAATGAAACATAATTTGCTATTTTTGAGCTAAACATTAATTCATGACGAAATCTTTTTAAATGGACACATAATATTTCAGGTAGCTCTAAAACTTTTGAAAATTTAATTCCATTACGCAGCTTATTACACTTCTCACAACTATACATATTATCTCCTTTAAGTTCATCTGCACTAAAAAATGCAGAAAGACAATCATGAAGACTAACAACTGGTCCCCAGAACCAAGAACGCATCCATTGCAAAAACCATGATAGCCAACCAGATTGATTAGTCACATACACAACATCAGAACATGGCCCTGCTTTCTGTGGTGTTAAAGGTCCTTGATGTAACATATCAATATGATCTCTACTTGGAATGGGTAATGACAAATCTTGAAAAGTTTCTACTCTTGTTGAAATTCTATCACAAGTTAGACATTGTACGCTACTTAAAAGTTTTCCATCAAATATATCACTAATGATACTTCGTGTTTTCATTTGTTTTTTAGTTCTGTATTTCACAGGTGAATTTTGTGTTGATCTTTGTGGCTGAGAAAATGGTTGGTCTACAGTTGATTTTTTGATGCTTCTATTTGTAAATTTACTTCTTAATTTTTCTGTCTGAGATACCCGAGAATATCTTCTTTTTGTACCACGTTCACCTTCATCACTAAGAGAACTTTGTTCACTTACTCCAGAATCACAAGTTTCATATTCAGCATCTGATTGGCTAGAACCATTTCCATCAATTTCAGTTTCATCTTCATCTGAAGATTGTTCTCCTAATCCCTTCAATCTCAATACATTGTCACGATCATCTTCTATATGTTCTTTTAATTCTTCATGTAATTGATCCATAAAACATCTTAAAAATTCTTGAGTATCATGTTGGTGATATCCTCTAAACATTGGATGAACTGTTCGAATACCAGATAATATTCCATGTGGTACAACATATCCTCTTGTTTTTCTATTCCACATATCTCGAATAAGGTTTAAATAGCTTAAACTTAAACCAGGCTTTCTATCTTTGGACATATAGCTAACCATATGACCACAATCCAAAAAGAATTGAGTCAAAGGAGGTACATTTGATAAAGCTTGAAGTGCTGCATTCATATAACATGTATTGCCAATGTTTTGAAGACCAACAAGACCTCTTGGTTTTCCAGAAAAATCTTTACTCTCATCTGAATCTGTACTATCTGGTGAATCACCAGATTTTTCATTAAATAATCTATCTTTTTCATAATTTACTCTATTTATAAGCTCTCCATAGAACCTATTTATAGAAACAAGAAAATGTTTATTTTCTAAAAACTTGTATATTAAAAATTTATAATATTTATATTTTTAAAAATATGTATAAAGAACATTTATGAAAAAAATAATTATAATACTTACTTATCCAATATAAGTCGATTAAGGTCATCAGTTTTACAATCTATATTAATAGGTGCATCACCAGAAAACTTATTATTTTGTGCTTTTATATCCACTTGAGTAGGTGATATTGATGGTGATGGTACATGCCTAGTTATAACTTCTCTTTTACAAGAGTAACACCATATACGATTTGTAGAAAGATTCATATGAGCACAGTGATTAGGAAATTTTTGGTTGTGTACAGTACTATGATCCAAATGTGTTTCTGGACATCCGACCCAACGACAATCAGGAAACAAACATAACCATAAATTAGGCCCATCCGTATCACATTCACTACATTTTTTAAATCTTTCCTTTTGAGACACAACGATCTCAATAAAAGCAAGATCACCACGATTGGCGATATGAGGACAATTCCTCGAAATTAAAGGCATTTGGATTTTGATATTTGTCCTGTCGATTATTATTGATCGTAGGACGCGAAATCGCGCGTACACTTTAGTTTTTCACATTCGTCTAAATTTGGTTTACACGCGACTCGAATAAAATTATAATCATTTTCTAACCTGATTGGGACATGTCGTTCTTGGTAATCGAACATTATCCACGAAAACGATTGTCATTGGAGATAGTTGTATCCAGAAAATTAGCTATTATAATCGAATAGCCAATATAAGAGAAAGAATATAGGTTGGTGTACATGTCGATAATCGAATTGAAACTTAAAATAAATTTGTACATTACTTTTCTTTTGTAAATTATATTAAAATTAAATTAAAAAAATATAATTCATATGAATTCTTATTTCAAATATATATTTATACCAAAAGTTGATAATTTATATATAGTAATATTAATTATATAATATTTATTTAAAGATATTCGTTGCGATAGATGTCGCGTTGTTAGATAAAGTATTATCAGTGAATAAAACGAATAAACCTCAAGTTGATCACCGCTGTAAATTTCTTTTAATAACCTGATTGAAAATTGAAAGAGAAGTGCACATGGATTATTAAAATACATCAATAAGTTTTTTATATTCTAATTGTATTTTAATAATATAAATAAATTATTCATCAATATTTGTGCAAATATATTCATTTTGGTAATTATAAAAAATATATTATTATACAATATTTTCAATTCTTAAAATTAACCTATATGATAAACTATTGTTTTCTATTTATCAAAATACTTGACAGAAGTAAATGTTTTCCTATTTATTTATTATTTACTTATTGATAAAAAAATTATGAAATAAAACAAATCATTTTATATAAATATATAGAATAAAAAAAAAAAGAAATTTTATTTTATAGCAATAAAAATGGTATTATCGTGCCGATTTTATAAAGAAAAGTACCCAGAAGTGGAAGATGTAGTTATGGTAAATGTACGTAGCATAGCTGAAATGGGAGCATATGTACATTTATTAGAATATAATAATATAGAGGGTATGATCCTTCTTTCTGAATTATCCAGAAGACGTATTAGGTCTATTAATAAACTTATTAGAGTAGGAAAAACAGAACCAGTTGTTGTTATCAGGGTTGACAAAGAAAAAGGTAAAATATATAAAAATTTTATGAATTGAAAGTTTTTTAAATTATTTATATATATTATATTTATTATTATATATATGTATCATTTTATTTAAAATTTTGTTAAATGGTTTAATGTAGGTTACATTGATCTTAGTAAACGACGTGTATCAGCTGAAGATGTAGAAAAATGCACAGAAAGATATGCAAAAGCAAAAGCTGTTAATTCAATTTTAAGACATGTTGCAGAATTATTACATTATGATAGTGATGATCAATTGGAGGAATTATATCAAAAAACTGCATGGCATTTTGAAGAAAAGTATAAAAAACAAAAAGCTTCTGCATATGATTTCTTTAAGCAATCAGTTCTGTATGTATAAAACATAAAAACTACAAAAGGAAATATGCAATTTGCAATGTTTTAATAATTTTTAAAATATTATTACTTTAGGGATCCATCTATTTTAGCAGAATGTGGTCTCGATGATCATACAAAGGAAGTATTATTAAATAATATTAAACGAAAATTAACTTCTCAAGCAGTTAAAATTAGAGCAGATGTAGAAGTAGCTTGTTATGGTTATGAAGGAATTGATGCAGTTAAAGCTGCTTTAAAAGCTGGTTTAGCTCTTTCTACTGATGAACTTCCAATTAAAATTAATTTAATTGCACCACCATTATATGGTATATTTTTATTTTTTTTAGTTTTTTAAGATGTTTATTTTGAGATTGAAAAAAATAATTAAAAATCATTTTATTTTTTTTATGACAACATCTACATTTTTTTTTTAGTTATGACAACATCTACACCAGAAAAACAAGATGGATTAAAAGCATTAAATGATGCTATTGATGCTATTCAAAATAAAATAACATCATTGGGAGGTGTATTTAATGTACAAATGGCTGTATGTCAAATAATATTTATTATTATATATTCATGTTATGCAAATATTTATTTTATTACAACGATTTTTAATAATTTGTAGCCAAAAGTTGTTACTGCTACTGATGAAGCTGAATTAGCAAGACAAATGGAACGGGCTGAACTTGAAAATGCTGAAGTTGCTGGTGATGATGATGAAGAAGAAGTGGAAGGTATGGATGGATTTAGTGGTGGTGAAGGTGTAGAAGAAGATAAAAAACCTGGAAATGAGTCTCAAGAAGAAGAATAAATATAGAATAAATTACCATGTTTCATTTTCTGACAGTTCTTAAATCACAATCATACTTTTATAAGTGTGCTACTGCCTTACTGGACATTATGCAAAATATTTCAAATAGATATATAAAAATCAATGTATTATAATTTATATATAATTTTCTATTAACTTCATGAAATAAACAAATTAATAATATGTAAATTGTTATTAATAGAAAAATTATTGTATAATTAGGAATATATTTTTAATATTCTATTTAAGAACTTTAAATTTTAATTTTTTATATGTTATATGTTATTGTAATATATTATGTATTTGTGATTTTATTAGAATATAAATGAATTTTACACAATTGATTTATTTATATTTTTATATTTTTATTAAAATCTTATACAGTTTTATTTAAATTATTCATTTGCAATAGTAACTTCTACTTCCACACCAGGTTCAATAGAAATACTTGTAATTTGTTTTACAATTTCAGATGGTGAATATAAATCAATAACTCTTTTATGAATACGCATCTGAAAACGATCCCACGTTTTTGATCCTTCACCACATGGCGTTTTACGCGTAGTTATCCTTAAAATCTTTGTAGGCATACGAACTGGACCTTTGACTTTCAGTTTTTGTTTGTTTGCTCCATTAATCAATTCCGAACAAACTAAAATAATATTTATTAAAAATATATATAATAATTATAATATATAAATAATAGAAAATAATTTACCTTTTTCAAGAGAGCGCACATTTCGTGAAGTTAAAGTAATCCTAATTCTGTGAATAGGAGTTACTTCTTGTCCTGGTTTTTCAGGATTGTCAACTTTTGTACTTGCCTAAAATATTATTTAATAAAGTATAAACAATAGCATTGAAACTAAAAATGAAGTTATAAACCTCATGTTATACAGAACTAACCTAACAAATTGAATTTATTATATAAAAGAATTATAATTCATAAAAATATTTAATTAAATAAAATTTTATATTTGCAGTATAAAATTATTGAAATAACTACACACCATTATTTAATTATTTTTCTGGTCGAGATAATCAATTTCTTTTTAAATAAAATTGATCAGCGCTGAACCAATGCATGCACACGTTGCGCGTGCTAACAGAAAGAGATAGGACATAATATAATTTCCGGTTATGTCTATATTTCAGGTTTTCAAATGCTAACAAATTTTGATCCAAATACATCGATAAAAATATTTTTATAATATTCTAATTATAATATATAAACAATT